CAGAAAACTAATTAACATAACGAATTCGAAAAATGCTAATAGTTACGACTTGGCAGCTTACTGGTGACTCGAAATGTAAACGACTGACGTCATCTCAGATAATGAGATAGGCAGTTTTGAAACTGAGTAAAATTATGGAAAATGGAGTTCGAACAAAACGTCTGATTTGTCTGGATTAAGCTATTACCTCATAACGAAAACTACAATTGGAAGCACACAAACCAGCATTTATGCCACGGTTTGTACGAGAGTGAAAATGGTCTGAGTCTACCATCTGCACATAAAAAATCCATGATTCGTCTAAATGCAGGCGTAAAGCGGAGAGTCAAACTGCGCACTGCTTGTCCATCAAGTGTCATCTCTGGACATTAAATGGAGGTACAGCAGAAGTACATGTTTGTATGGAAGCTGTCCTCAGAAGGCTTTCTAATATAAGCCTGGAAATATGTCTTTATTCTCATTATGCCTTCAGATACTTTAGCTTCTGAGTTTCACTTCACCAAAATTCTGGCGTCTCACCCACGTCCTCCGGGTTTTAAAATTGATTCATAAGCAGAGGCATCACAGTCATGTCTCATAATCAGATCCATCAAGCCTGCTGCTTTCGGAAGGGATAAGAAATACTAAAATTATCTTCTAAAACTGTAACTGCATTACAAAGCACTAGCAAGTGTTGGAAATGAGACAGAGTAAAGAGCTAGAAGTTTTTCTGAACCTATCAGGAAACAGTGAATCAGAGAACATCTTCATTAATTTCAGGCCAAGAAAAAAATTTTGAAGGAGGCGGAGAACGGTAATGATGAGAATGATAGTGAGGATGATAATGATGTTAATGATATGAACAATAGAACAATAATGATGGTAATAGTGATAAAAACAGTACAGCTGAGATTACTCATTCTGCTGAACGAAAATTTTATTACAACTTGGGTGGAAAAAACCAGACCATCAATCTGAAACAGGTATATTGGCCAAAAGCTGTGCAGAAAAAATCAGCTGTCATTTCTGCAAATAGATTAATTGTTAAAATCAAAGAGGAGGACCCTGGATCATCCGAAGTTCACGGCAAGGCTACTGCAAAAATTGCCAGAAAGTCCGTTTATCGGAGTATGCGCAGAATAGTTCGAAAGATCATGCTAATAACAATCTACAGCGGGTTGCAACCAGCTGGCTATACAAAGCGTCTGACTGCCAGTTGATATCATGTTTGAGAATATATGAAAAAAAATAATTACAGCGCGAATGATGTTGATGATGATGATGATAATGATGATGATGATGATAATAATAATAATAATGAGGGCGATGATGATGAGGGCGACGAGGAGAAGAAACGGAGGCGAAAAACGACGATGTGGAAAAAAAATGAGAATGATAACGAAGATGGCTATGATGGTGACAATAATATTGGCAATAAATATGTTGATGTCATCTAAAACGCATTGAAGCTGTATTGAAAACGGATCGCAACGGCTCAGAATGGGTTTGTGTAGCCAGTTTCTTTTCGAAATCTGTTTCATTCGCTTACAAAATGCCCACTGTCCTTCGTACGAGTCGAAGCAAAATGGGGAAACCTGCCGTGAAACACTGGTAGCAATAGTCGATGAATAAAGAAGTGACGGAAGCATTGACGATCGAATGTAACGACAGAAACTCTTACAAAGTGTAACCGTTCGTTCGGAAGCCCATACGCTTCAGCAGACCGCGAAATGACCGCTGAAAAGGGAAATCGTCATCGACCTGCCGAGTCATACCATGGAAGCCGGATGATGACAAATTTGATCCAAAATAATTGCTTCGAAAATTGAATCAAGCACCAGCGATGACACTGGTAATGCGGAAGGCAATTTGACGAACGAAAGTTCTTAGAACGAGCAGGGACGGTAAGTGACTCGCAGTTGACGACTACGACCGGCGGCTTTTAAAGTCGTGGCCGCGTCAAGACACCGCGAACGCGTTTTGCATTCATATTTAATGTGTTATTACTCATACATGAACAGCCTTAAATCGATATCTGGGAACCGACCGTGTTATCAGTGTTTAAAACCTAACCTTTCCCTAGAATTCTAGGGAAATCAGCTGTTGTACTGTAAGGCTACACAAACGAGTGTCGAGGAGTGGTGAAACGTGCTTCAATGCAGATCACTTCTGAACGGGGACATGAGAAGGGGCCTGAGAGACAATTTAGCACAGTTTGATGGGAAATTTCCTTCTGAGATGTGATCGTCATTTAAACCTTCGATTCGTCTTCTTCCTATTCACCTCTTACTTCTTAATCTGCTTCAGCCTCTTCTCCTTTCCGACCTGTTTTTCCCTCCCCTATTCACCTTTTCCTTTTTCTTCTATCCCATTACATCGAAGACGACTTCGCGTGCTGTAGAAGCATTCCAGCTGTAGCGAATAAGTACGCGCCCATTCTTTAGTTCTTTCAGTGCTATGTCAGTCGAACCAGGTTTTCGCATCACGTTGAAGATCTTCCTTTACGTTCAGTGCTCAGCTCACAAAGGCCTCCATTCGCTGACAATGGCACACCATCTTCAGCGCCTTGTTTGCAGCCAGTGTGCCACTTTAGCTGGATATTCCGATCTCCTTCATGCAACAGCTGCCTCATCAGGGTCTATCAAAGAGAGAGAGCCAAAGCGGAAAGCCGACTATGCATAGATGCGTGTGGATAGATACGCATTCATACAATTATCGTATGCCAGTTCAGTCTGATAGATATCTTTATGGTTCGGCCAGCTACTCTTGCTAAGATGTTCCCAACCAGTTAGAGTGCTTTTTTACTCATCACATCGATGTCCAACTTTTCCAAAATTTCGAGAGCAGCCTGTTGATGCAAAGATCATGACAAAATGTCCAAAATTATCGCTCCAGGACCTGGAACACGGGCAAATAAACTGAAGAAGTTCGAATTGGAAAGTGAAAAGACTTGAAACCCATGACCACATGCAGATCAAACTACCACGAAAAAGACAT